GCAGGCGCCGCAGCCCCCCGCCGCCCTGCAGACCCTCGGGGTCCAGGGCGCGGCCTGGGAAGGGCCCCCCGCACCGGGTCCCCGCGGCTCTTACCGACCAGCACGCACAGCACGTCGAGCAGCACGAAGACCCACCTCCGCTGCATGCTGCACCCCCGGGCCGCGCCCTCGACCCCCGACGCCGTCCCAGCGCGTCCCGTCGCGTCCCGGCGCGGCCGCGGGTCACATGGCCGCGGAGCCTGGCCGGCGGGGAGGGAGGGACGGGAAAGGAGGGGAGGGGACGGGAGGGCAGGGCCGGCCGGCCGGGCGGGGCGGCGAGGGGAGCGCGCGGACTCTGCCCCCGCCCCGCCCCCGGTGTGCGGGAAGAGCGGGGGCGCAGAGCGCGTGCGGGGCGGCGGGGGGACCCGGGTCTACACTCGACCCCGGGTGCAGAGGAAGCGGAGGGTCTCTGAGCTGGGGCGGGGGGGGAGGTCGTCAGCGCCCAGCAGTCCCCCTCCCCGCAGGCCGGGAGGCTGAGTGCAGGGTCACTCCGGTACGGGCGCGCACCCCGGTCACCCCGGGTTGGGCCGGCTGTGTCGCCGGGGGGCGGGCGGTGGGGTGGGCGTCGAGGTGAGAACGGACGAGGGTAGGACACTGGTGTGTGAAGGAGGACATGTCCCTCCGGGGTCCTCTCGGAGCCTCGGTTTCCTCATCGGGGAGTGGCACCTGTGTCGTGTCCATTGAATACCTCTGAATTCAGGAAGTGCCTTAAAACTGACGGAGTGTCGGGGCTTCACGCGGATGATGTCCTTTCCTCCTCATGGTTGAAACCCCGGCGGTCCTGCGGTCCCCGGCGTTTCAACACCCCCGAGGCTGTTGGCGCCGCTCACCGCCCCACTTTACGGAAGAGCAAACAGGGGCCCGGAGGTAGGAACTCGCTGGAAAGGGCCAGGGCTGAGCTCTGCGCCCTGCACCCCACCAGGTCGCAGGGAGCCCTGGGCTGGGAGGCGCCTGAGGGTCAAGGGCACCCAGGCTGGGGACACTGAGGTCTGAGGGGCCCAGTACACGCACTCTCAGTGTCCGCACAGCCACACTGGGTCCTTAGGGCTGCGACCATCTGAGCGGCCTGGGCGAATGTCCCCGCGTCCTGGGGAGCCCTGCCTTGACCTGGCAGACACGTGACACGTGAGAGACTCTGTCGCTTCCTCAAGGTCACACAGTGGAAAGAGGCAGGGCTGGGATTCGAACCCACGACCCACCGCCCTGATCTCTGAACCACATTCACCACCCCACGCCTTCCGACGATCCCGAGATGGAGGATGTTGCTCGGCCCTTTTGAGAGATGAAGGGACTCAGGTCCAGAGACGGGCAGCCCCCGCCGAGGTGGAGCAGCTGGGACTCGACCGGGAGGATGGACAGGCGCCCGCACTGGGGGAGGGGCCCCCGGGGAGCCCAGGCGTGGACCCCAGGTGGGGGCAGCGCGCAACGCAGCTGTGGCTCCGCCGCCCTGGGCCGACGGCGGGTTGGGGTGTCTCTGGCCACGTGTCCTGCGCCCCTAACAGCTCTCCTGGAGCCTTGAGCCGGCGGACACTCCCCCCGCCGCCCCCGCACACTCGAAATAACTCAGCCCACCCTGGGACATGACAGGGTTCTGCATGGAAGCTTCTGGACCTGGATTTTCCGTCTGCGGTGTGGCGCAGAGCTGGTGTGGGAGGCACATCCCCAACCCCCGTCCCTACCGCACACCCCGAGGAGGGGGGCACAGCCAGACTTCCTCCGAGGCAGCCGGGAGGGTCTTCCCGGAGGCTGGGCGGGGGTGGCGCTGTCGCAAGGGGCCGGTTCGGCCTGGACCCGGCGCTGCCCACCGGCTTCCCCGCGGCCACTCCCGCTTCGTCCTTCGTTCTCGCACGGACACCGAGTGGAGTCCTGAGAATTCCTGATAAACACCGCGAGGGGCGTCCGCGGCGCTTGGAGGCGGCGTTACCTCGTGTCTGTGGCGTCATTATTAGCGCACTTTTTCCACTTTGACCTCGCAATCGGGCGACCCCGCCCTCGGTGGTCTCGACAGCCCGTCCACACTGTGGTGACCGGGGTCAAGGAAACGTGGGTTCTTGATGGAGCATCTACTGTGTGCGGGCGGGGCTCCACGGGGTCAGGGGAGGGGCGAGGACACCCTCCCACTGACCTCAGTCTCACCCTGGCCTTAAAATGCCTGGACAGGGTGGGGATTAAAACCGAGGAGGGCAGCGAAGACGAGGATTAGGGCCGGGATTTGGGTCAGGGCGCCTGCATCTGCCGGCTGGGCCTCCTCACACTCCAGGAGCTTCTCAATTGGAATCGGCTTCAGCCCCTCCCAGGGAGGACCTGAGGCCAGCCGGGCAGCTCCAGGACAGAGCCTGGGCTGGGAGCCAGGCTGGATGGGTCCTTGTCACCTGCAGGTGGCATAACTGGGAGAGGACTGAACCCACCTAACCGAGCCCCTAAGTGGGCACCGGCCTCGCCTGCGTTCCTTAGAGACCAGGTCACCTGCTTGGTGCCCAGGGGTCCGTCCTCCCTGTCCCGCCCCCCCAGCAGTGAAGCTCAGGGCTCAGAGGGCTGTCAGTTATTGTCCCCTGTGGCCTCAGTCCTTGCCACCTGATGGGCTCCAGTTCTGTGAAGACTGCGGGGAGACGCCTGGGAGGAGAGCAGGAAGGGGCCCAGCACAGCAAGGTGCCACCCGGGCGAGGCCACCCTGGGGGCGCCTTCCAGATGTGGGGCCCCACCCCCACTGAGGGTCCTGGACTTGAGCCTGTACCCGGCGCTGTGAAGGGCGTTTGAGTGGGGAAGGGGGTGGGTGGAGGGTGCCTCAGTGTCCCATCTGCACACTCGGTGCAGGACGCTGCCCACCGAGGTTGTGAACGGCCTGACCCCGCCGAGCTCAGCAGGAGGCTCCCCTGGAGGCTTAACTGAGCAGAAACAGCGGGACAGGTGCCGGGGGGTTGCCTTCAAATCAGAATCCAGCATCGGTAAATTCAGAACCCCAGGACTGCCTTTAGCTGCCAGGATTTCGTGATCCTGAAGTGCCGCCCAACCTCCCAGTCAGGATGGGGACGGGGTGACCCCCAGGTTCAGCACGAGAGCCGGGGTCCTGGGAACTCTCAGTCCTGAGCAAAGTTGCCGCCTCACACAGATGGCCACAACACACGGTCCCCTCCCCAGCCCCCACCCCGTCTAAGTCTGCGTGCTCACTTACCCTTGTGCCTGCCCCACCCTGAGCTGCAGGAGGGCAGGGACCCGCAAACAGTGGGCGCTCAATCGATGCTCATGAACACAGAGGGAGCTGTGAGTAACGGAGCCTGAGGTTCTCGGGGCGACCCCTTCTCCGGGGGCTCTGCCTGTGCTGGACCCCCAGGCCCACAGCAGACAAGACCTTCCTCGACAGGAGCTGCCTTCGTGCGGAGGTGTCGCCATCTGCCTCCGTCCCCCCGGGCACCCGCTGGTCACACATTCACACCCCTTCCCTGTTCACGGCCTCTGTCCCTGCCCCCAAACCAGCACCCCAACAACAAGCGTGACGGGCAGCCCTGAACCCCCCTGCATAGCCACTGACCCTGGACCCATTACAGCTGACGAGGAGAAGCGACACAGGCAGCGAGAGAGGCTGTGACCCCACCCCCGACCTGCGTCCTACCCACTGGGGACGGTCCACCGCGGCAGGGGCTGAGCCGTCTCCCGAGTCTTCCCTGTGCGGGGAGGGCAGGCTGGGAGCTCTCTGGCCCCGTGTGAGCGGGGGCATCTGACCCCGCAGTGCCCCCAGGGTCCTGCCTCTGAGCCACGACCCCACCCTCCCTGATCCCCTCGGGGCGGGGGTCTTTTACTCCAGGGGGGTCTTGGCCAAGCCCCACCCACAACTGAGCCCAGACCAGGAGGTGCCACTGGCCCTGGTCGGCCTCCAGGTGGGACAGGAGCGGCCTCTGCTGGACGATGAGGCAAAGCCACAGCCAGGCCCGCCCTCTGGACATTCATGGGCCCACCGTGCCAGGTGCCCACCATCTCGATGCCCTGCCCACTGCAGCCCAGGAACCGGACTGCCGGATTTCACAAGTCAATATAGAGACTCAGTTCAATTTAATCCCAGACGTGCAACAAATCCTATAGTGTGAGTGTGTCCCAAGCACTGCGGGACCCATACTCACATCTGTTGTCTGCGCTCAGAGCTGACTGGTGTCCTGGATCTCGCCAGGCCGTTCCTCCCAGGAGCCACACACCAGAAAACAAGGACTGAACCAGGGGGTGAGGGCTGGATGGGCCCAGTCGTGTTCCAGAGCCTGGCATCCTCCACTCGGCCTGGCCAAGGAGGCCAGGGCTCGGGGAAAAGTGCCAGCCCAGGTCGGCCAGCTCCTGGCGACCCTCTCCCGCCCCCACTCCCACCACCAAAGGTGCCTTGGTGAGTCCAGTTCCAGAAGCCCTGGCGGCCGCCTGGCTCCTTCAGGCCCGGAGGGGCTGGAATCAGGCTCCTCCGGGCACCTCTGACTGTCCAGCACAGGCCTGTCTGCAGGGGGCCACAAGAGATCTCCACTCCCACCCTGCAAACAGCGCGTAAACCAGAAACAGTAACCAACAGCCAAGGACAGCACGGCGTCTGTCCCGGGGCTAGTGGACGCCGAGGAGGAGCCGTCCCTGCAGGGGACCCGAGGTCCTGGAGCGGCTGCCGAATGTGGAGGAGCGGGGGCCCGCCTGTCGGGTCTGGATAGAAACCGGAGACGCCCGGCTGGCAGGAAGGGCTTGATTCCACCATCAAGACAGCTGACCAGAGGGGAGGCGAGACCACACGTCGCCTCGGCTGCCGAGAAGCCCTTCCCGGGCAGGGCAGTGTCCACTCCTCATCGAGTGTGTTTCCACACAGCGTCCAGCGTACGGTCAAAGCCGCAGACGCCATCAGCAGCAACAGAAACTTACTAGTCAGCACACGACCCCCAGGTCAGCAGGTCCCTCCGGACCCCAGTCACCGATGTCCCGGCCGCATTGCCCACCAGCCCCCGCACGCAGCGGGCACACCTTCCTGCACACGTACCCTCTGCCCAGAGCACCGTGCTCCCTGGAGGCCTGTCCCACCAGTGTGCGGGGCAGATAACCAGGGTGCCCCATCGGAAACCCCTCCGCCCGGCCGGTCACTGGTCCAGTGACGGGCACAAGATGGAGAACAGATCTGACCCGAGGGCTCCTGTGGGGACCCTGGGAAAGACGCGTGCTTTCTGCCAGGACCACAGACCAAAGGTCGAAGGCCTGGAGCCTCCCACGGCTGCCTCGGTCACCACGAAGGGAAGTCACCGGGAACAAAGGGACAAGGGAGCAGAGAGGAGAAGCAGCAAAATCTCGTCACCATGGCGACGCCCGACTCCTGGACTCTGCTCCTGAAGCCACCAGCGCTCGGGACCGGACCTCCCTCACCGGTCCACCGCGAAGGGCCTACGGCCTCAAGATCGAGGAGGATGGACACCGCCTCGGCCGCTGCAGCCAGAAGAGGCCTGCCACGCGGCCAGGGTCACGGGACAGCCGGGCAGGGCACGTGGACGATCCAAGCCGACGCCACGGGAAGGACTCGTGTCAAACCACGGGCGACACGGGAGAAACTGACCCACAATGAAGAGGAGGACGTCCAGAAGCAACCTGGACGCTAAGACAGACACTGTCACAAAGAGGCTGAAGAATGCAGAGAAAAAGGTGTAGAAATGGAGAACTGGGGCAGAGAAACGGAAAAAGTCACGAGCAAATACTGGAGCCAGGAGACCAGGATGTGAGCCCAAGACCCCGGGGCCACACGGCCGTCTGGAACCTCCAGGACAGGTGGGGGAGCCTCCACTGAAAGAGAATCCCGGACCCACAGGGAGAGGGAGAAACCGGGGCCCAGTTGAGTGGAAGGACCGGCCCTGGGGTCCAGGAAGCCCCAGCAGAGAACGCGGCCCGGCCCAGCTGCAGGGGGACCATCGTCAGAGGAGACGACGCGTCACGTTTAGGGAACACAGGCAGGAAGGACAAACTTCTCACCAGAAAACAGAAACCAGGAGCCAACGGAACATCTTCAAAACACCGCAAGAAGAGAGTCGCCCAGAATCCCACGTCCGACGACGACAAGGGCTTCAAAACGAGGATGCGGGACCCTCTCAGACTGAGACGCGTGCAGGCGGACGCGCACAGACCCCAAGGTGGCCCTGAGGACGGGGATGGCCACCGCCGGGACGCCCAGACCCCCACGGTCAAGCAAGCTGCCCCACACCCCCCGGAACAACCCGAGTCCACCTGCCGACGACCCTACACCTGAGGTCCCGGAGCCACAGGGTCTCGCACAACAGAGCAGCCATGCAGAGTCAGCTGGCGGGTTCTCACGCAACTAAACAAGCGTCACCATGCGATGCTGCCCTGGAAACTCCTGTCCAGACGCAAACCCGCACGCGGACGTTTAGAGCAGCTTCACCCACGACCGCCAACCTGGACGCGGCCCAGACGCCCTTTGGTGGGCGAGAGAGCAGGCAGACCGCAGTCCATCCAGACGGTGGGACCAAGAGGAAACGGGCCTTCAATCCATAAAAAGACACGGTAGCCTGATATGCGTGAGGGAGTGAAGGAGGCTGCACCCGTGTGCACACACCAGGGGCGTCCTGCTCACACGCCCGAGACCAGCGAGACGGGAGCCGGCAGGGCGCCCTCTCTGAGGCACTGAAGGAACACGGAAACGGACTAAAGCCTCCAATGCAAGTCGCTCCCAGCTCCTCTCACCCGAACCCCACGACCGGCTCTGCAAGGACGAACCCCCGAATCCAGACCACGCTCTCCCACACCTGGACACGACGGTCCCTGATGCAGCCCCTCCTCTCGGCCTCCCCTCCCTGGGCGCTGGCTGTCCCCTCCCGGCCGAGTCCCGGCCCCCGCCAGCCTGTCCGCCGTCACCACAGGGAGCTGTAAGCACCACCAACCTCGTGACTGAGCCCTGCCCGCCCTCCAGGGGCTTCAGACCCAGAATCACGCCTGCCAGCCACCTGCCCAGCCTCTCCTGGGACGCAGAGCCCTTCCCTGCCCGGCCTCTGTGTGACCACGCCGGCTCTGCCCAGAGTGCGCCCACGCCCCTCCAGGCTTCAAGTTCAATGCCACCTCCTCTAACTGGCCACCACCCTCGCGCCGTCATCCTGACGAGGACCACCACCCCACAACCCCGTACCGTCTCCGGCATGACTCAGCCCGGACCCGTGACTGTGGCCGGCACAGCGTCCACACGTTACAGCCTGAGTCTCCGGCCCCCACACGCCCCGCCCACCAGTCCACCAGGAGGCTCCCCGGGCTTCAAACCAAGTTTAATAAATAAAACAGCGAGGGGTCCAAGGCAGCTGTCACTTCACAGTGTGGTCCTCGTGAGGCGAGAGGGAGGGCTGAGTCGCCTCCTGGAGCAGGGGCTCGAGCCACCGTGCGCCCTGGTGACACCCGGGGGCTGGGAGCGCCGCCCTGCCCCCCGGAGGACCCCACTCCAGTTTGTAAACAGAACCATAAATAAACAACGGAGGCAGGAGAAGAACCAGGACCCCAAGCCATCTTGGCGGGGAACGTAACAGAAATATGACTTCGGGGCTGGGGAAGAGGCTAGAGCCCGGCCCCTCGGTGTGGCCGGCGCCAGGGCCTTGGTACCAAGGGGGTGTGAGTCACCGGTCTCCCCGAGCCCACGCCCGGGCCTGCTGGGGCCCCAAGGGAGAGAGGGTGTAAAGTGCGTCTTTTCCTGAAGTGGAGAGAGCGGGCAGGGGCGCGGGCCGACGTCGAGGTATATGGCTCTGTGCCCCGCGGGGTTTGGCACCGAGTAGCAGCTGCCCACCGACCCCTGGGCTGGGGCAGCCTGCGGCCCGGCCAGGGGCAGGGAGACGGGGCCACGCAGAGAGCTGGGCGCCCCGGGCGGAGGCTGCTGGTGGGGGCGGTGTCCGGCCCCATCTCCCTGTGGCCCCAATGGGCAGCGACGCCTTCCTCGCCTCTGCTGGCTGGACGGGGCCAGGCCCTCCGACCCCGCTGCCAGACAGGTCCCATGGCGGAGCCGGCGTGTCAGGCGCTGAGGGTGCCGTCTGTGTGGGGAGGGATGGGGCGGGCGGCCCGGCCACCGGTCACCCCGGTCCTTGCAGAGCTCTGAGCAGAGAAGGCGGTACCCGCGGCCCACGAGGAGGAGGAAGGTGGGGAAGACGGACAGAGGCAGGCCCCGCGGTGGCCCCAAGTCCAGTCCGGGCCACACACGCCCACCTGCAGCCAGCGATCAACAGGTCATCACGTTACAGCTGCGGGGGGAGAGACCAAGAGAGAGACCGACGGGTCAGTCCAGGCCCACAGACCACGCCACCTGGGCGCCGGGCCCACACGAGGCTCCCGCCCGCCTCCCGCACACCGTGCTCCCACGTGTTCAGACGCCTCCGAGGCAGCCGTCCTGGCGCCTGGGGAGGGCCGGTGGCTGGGGCGGCGGGGGGAGCCTGGCACTGGCCCCGTCAGTACCTTTTTGGATTTTGAACCATACGAATGTATTACCTAGTCAAAAAAATAAACAAGCCAAATTAAAAATAGAGAATAAAACTAAAGAAACACACAGCCTGCTCTGTGTGGCCACGCCATCCTCGGGCCCCGGGGACCCGCCCGCTCCCCTCCTCCGCCCGGGGCGGGGGCTGCACTCACTGTGACAGGGGCTCCGAGTGCAGCCCAGGGGCCGGGCACGCTGGGTGGGCAGCCAGGAAGGGATTCACGTCCCCGATGCCGATGAGTCCAAACTCGGTGACCGACAAGGCCACCTGTGCGGGGGCCACAGCCTCCTCGGGCTCTCCGTCCACATCCGTGTGGCTGGAGCTGAGGGGCAGCTCCTCGGGGAGGGCCCCGGGCAGGGCCAAGTCTACAGCCAGCCTCGGGCTGGCGCCCGGCTCCAGGGCGGCAGCGGCGGGGGGGCAGAAGGCCGGCTCGGCCAGACGGGGGGGCCGCCGGGGCAGGGGCACCTCCAGGGGCGCGTCCAATGGCTCGAAGGGACAGGGCCCAGGCTCTGAGGACGGGAGGCTGTCGGAGCCCTCCTCGGGCTCAGCGAGGCTGCCGGCTGCACCGTCCACGCTCGGCGGCTCTGCGGGGAGAGGACAGCTGAGATGGGCCCCCACCGCCCGCGCCCGGGACCCAGCACTGCCCCAAGAGGCGCACTCGCGGGAAACCGCACCCGAGCCTCAGGCTGCGCCCGGGCAGGGTCCTGCCCAACTCCGCTGGGGCAGCAAAGCCTGCGGACCCCCCAAGTGTTCCCAGACATGTGACACACAGGACCCAGTCACGCAGACGTGGCCCTGCGCCGAAGGTTCCGACCCCCGTTTTTAAGACAGGACAGAACACAGCAAGTTCAAGAGAATGAAAAAGGCGCGAGTGCACACAGAAGCAGGGTCCCCGTGGGATCCACGGAGCTTCCGTCCACGGGCGAGTCCAGCACTCGGGATGTGAACACAGTTCTAGGCGAACCACAGGACCCGAGACACTAAATCCGCGAGTCCACCCGGTCCTCTCCGTGGTCACCTGAGACACTGAAGTCACGCCCCGGGCCCTATGCTGCTCCGCGGGGCCGGGGACGCTGCGGATGGCTCAGACACCTGCTTATCTCCCGCGTGGCGGCTGGGACTGAGCACCCACCCGAGCCCAGAGAGGAGGCCCCACTTTGGGCTGCGGGGCCCACACAGTTCCCCTCCACACGCACAGCCAATGAGCCTCGGGATACCTTGTGAGACAGCCTGAGACACCTCACGTGACACCCCCATGTGACCTGACGTGACACCCCGTGACACCATGTGACCTGATATGACAACCCGTGAGACACCTCATGTGACCTATGACACCCTGTGAGACACCTGATGTGACACCCCGTGATACCCCATGTGACACCCCGTGACACCACATGTGACACCACACGTGACACCTCATGTGACATGCTGAGACACCCCATGTGATACCCCATGTGACACTCACGTGACACCTCACGTGAAACCCGTGACATCTCGTGTGACACGTCATGTGACACCCATGGGGGCGGAGTGCCAGCAGCTCCCAGACGGCCCCTCCTCAGTGTCCACCGGCCCAGGTCGGGGTCCTGGTGAGGAGGGGCTCCCCCAGGGCAGGGCCCGCCCCCGCCCAGCGTGCTCACCGGTGTGCATCCGTGCCAGGGGGTCCTGCTCGGGGCCCAGGCCGGCGGCGGCAGGGGGCAGGGGCGGTGAGGAGTGGGGGCGGCCGGGGCCATCGGGGTCACTGCTGTCCAGGTCCTGCTCTGCGTCACTGGGGAGAGAGGGCACCGTGAGGGGCTGCGGGGGCCAGCTGCCTCGGCGGGAGGCGCCTCCCCGGGACCCCCGCCCGCCCGCCCGGTTCCAGCGGGGGCTGCACGCACGTGGCTCCGGACGGGCCGTACTTCCTGCGGCCCAGCCGCGTCTGCTGGGAGAAGTAGTCGTAGCGCTCTGACTTCTTCCACAGGTAGTAGTACTCCACACACTCGCCCACAGACCGCGTGCGCACCTGCAGGACGGTGCAGGGTCATCTCGGCACCCAAGCCCTGCCGTCCCCACCGGCCAGGCCCCCCTTCGCCTTCCAGGACAGCAGGGACGGGTCACGGCACCCACCGCTCTCGGACACGCAGACCCCGCCGTGGCCCCTGGGCCCTCTGCACCCGCCCCCACCCATCTGAGGCTCAGGCCGGCCCACCTCCGGGGCTTGGCCCCTGTCCCGCATGTGATGGCGCCCCCATCTCAGGGAGCCCCCCACCTGGGGCGTGGGAGCCATTCTCCCTCCAGGCCCACATGTCCACTGTCCACCTCCCTTGCCCCAAGGACAGCAGTGTCCACCTTGTTCCCGCTTCTCACAGGCCCAGCAGAGGGGGGAAAAACGACCCCAGGGACCGACACTGGGAGACGGAGCCCAGCCCAGGGGAGACGACGTGTGAGCCAGCCAGGCTCGCTTTTCCCGCGGAACACAGAGCATCACCGATGCTGCTGGAGAACACACGGGGTTGTTCTCCCTACACTCAAGGTCACACTCATAACACGGCACAGAAAAGCCAAAGGCCTCTACCCAGAGCATCCCAGAGGGACAAACGTGTGTCCGGCAGGGAGCTGCACACCACTGGGCAAAACCTCTTGTGGTGATTTGGTGCATCTTCCCACATTGGAGAGTCACCCCACAGCAAGCCCAGGGCCATGCTCAGAGCTGGCAACAGCACGAGGACCCCACCGCTGTTCCCCAGAATGAGGGACCCGACCCCAGAGCCCTGGAGAGGGTCAGGGGGCCAGCGGGGGCAGGGCGCATGTGGATGGTCCAGCCTCCTTAATGAGACCCCTCGTGCGTCAACCCTGCCCGGAAGGAAGAGACACAGTTCCCTGCGGAAGGAAACACAGCGCAGGGCGGAGGCGGTGCCCAGGAGGGGATCAGGGCACAGCAATCAGGCAGTGAGCTGAGGACACGGAGCCACAGCCGCAGCCTCGCCTACAGGGGAAACGCAGCGAGCAGCAGGCACATCGGGCCGAAAGGCGCTGATCCAGCAGCACGATCAACGGCTGCCTCGCGTGGCGCTAGGCGCCGACCCCGTCCTGACACCAGCCCCGCAAAGGCCTCATGGCAACCCCCCAGGGGAGGCACACAGACTCCGAACGGGAGCCCAGTTGCAGCCACGCCCTGCTTCTCCCCGGCTTACCCACCAGCACTTGCACGGTGTTCTGAAGGGCACGAGAGAGGGCACACGGGTAAGGACAGGGATACGCACAGAGACAGAGGGAAACTAAGGTCTGAGACAGAGCCCAGAAGCGAAGCCAGGCAGACGTCCTGGTCTACAGGCCAGAAGCACCAGGGCTCTGCCAACAGGTCAGCTCGGGCGTCATGGTGGGGGAAACCATGGACAGGTGACCTCACAAAGCACGTGCAGAGACCAGGGGTGACCCAGGTTTGGGGGAGGAACCGACGGTGGGGGGAGGAACCGACGGTGAGGGGAGGACAGGGGAACTCAGGTCTAGCAGGGACGGGGCACTGAGGTCTAGTGAGGACAGGGGGACTAGGTCCAGGGAGGACAGCGGAACTCAGACTAAGAACAGGGGGACCCGGCACTCTAATGTCCTTCTGGTCATGAGCCATGCCATGCGTGGCTGAAGGACCTGTGTCTTGGCAAGGAGCTGAGAGTGAGTCTAGGCTAGGGGTCACTACTGTGGGATCAGCACTGGGCAGCGAGCTAACAGGCTCTGCTCTAAAGAGATGGCAAGGCATTGGCTATGACTGCAACAGTGGATCGTGAAAACAGGAACCAACTAGTAAAATTCACTTCCTAAACTAATTTAGAGTAGAGCCTTCTTTAGGTGTTCATCAAGTAGCCAAGCAGCCGTCAGCAGAGAAAACTAGGAGGAGACGTCCACAGGCCTGGGACAAGCCTGAGGCAGGAACTAGGACTCCAGCCCCACCTCGCGGAGCCTCCGTGCACCTGGCAAGGTGAGTCCCGACCTCTCGCGGTGGGTGAAGGGGATGTGTGCCCAGGCTCCTGAGCTCCTCCCAGCCCAAGGAGCCCCACGTGGGGCCCAGCGGGAACAGGGGGCAGTGTCCTCACTTTGTTGGCCTGGATCAGGTGGAAGTTCTTCCCGTGCACTCGGAAGCCATGCTCAAAGTTCCTGCACTCCTCCTCGCTCCACGCACAGAACCCGTCTGCACCAAGGGAAAGACAGTGGGGTCAGCAGTGCCCAGGACAGGCAGCAGGAAGGGGTGGGGAGAGCCAGAGCTGCACGCTCACCTCGGATCACCTTCACATTGAACCGCAGCCTCCGGAGAGCCTCCTCGATGTTGAAATTGCATTTCACCAACTCATACAGAGCCTGCAGGGAAGCCACATGGACTGTTCCCACCTGCTCACTCCAGGAGCAAGAGCAGGTGATGTTCACACCGCCAGGGGGGATAGCAGGTGTGTTTACACCCCCATCTGGACGGGGTATCAAAAGACTTTACACCACCACCAGGGGGGACATCACGGCGGTATGTACACCACCATCAGAGAAGACAGCAAGCATGTTTACAGCCGCATCTTGACGGCGACACCAGGAGTGTTCACACCACCATCATGCGGGATATGAGCGGTGTTAACGCCACCATCATGGGGGATATTGGGTGTTCACACCACCATCGTGGGCGATATCAGGGGTGTTCACGCCACCATCATGGGGGATATCAGCGGTGTTCACGCCACCATCAGGGGGGTATCGGGTGTTCACACCACCATCATGGAGGATATCAGGGGTGGTGACACCACCGTTACGGCAGGGATATCAAGGGTGTTCACACCACCAGCCAGGGGGATATTGGGTGTTCACACCATGATCAGGGGGGATATCAGGAGACTTTACACCACCATGAGAGAAGATATCAGGGGTGTTCACACCACCATCAGGGGGGATATCAGGGGTGTTTACACCATCATCTGGGCAGGGATATCAGTGGTCTTCACGCCACCATCCAGGCAGAGATATCAGGGTGTTCACACCACCATCAGGAGAAGATATCTAGGGTGTTCACACCACCAGGGGTGGGGATATCGGGGGAGTTCACACCACCAGCAGGAGATGATATCGAGGGTGTTCACACCACCATCGGTGGGGGATATCGGGGGTGTTCACTCCACCACCAGGAGGTGATATCGGGGGGTGTTCACACCAGCATTGCTGGGGACATTGGAGGTGTTCACACCATCATCAGGTGGGGCTATCAGGAATGTTCACGCCACCATCAGGAGCGAGGCACTCACACCACCATTTCCCCCACGACAAGTGGTTTAGTTTGCATCCACCACCACATGACCACATTGGCCCACACCGGGTGGAAGCCTCACGCCAGGTCCCCCACTCCCTCCACTGGTGTGGCCTCTTCATTCCCCACGCCCCTCCTGCCTGACCCCAATTCTGCCCTGCGTGTCCCGAGGCGTCTGAGGTGTCGACCTCTGGCTGGAGCGCCACAGCGTCCACAGCCCTCTGCCCCCACGTGGCAGCCTCACCTGCTCACTGTCCTTCACGGTTTCGCCCTCTGGGAGCTGAGACCCAGCCACCTCGTGCCACCTGCGCGTCACTGCCCGGTACAGGAACTCCTCCACCTCCCTCTCGGGGAGGACACTGGGGGCCCAGAGCAGCTGGTCTTCATTCTCATACACTGCAGAAAGAGGGTCGGGGTCATGTCACAGGCACGCGGTCCCCGCACACACCGCCAGAAGCACACGCTTCCTCCTCCATTTCCTCAAAAGCACCCTCCAGGGCAGGCCATCTCAGCACCTCCAGACGACAGAAGCTAATCTGCTGGTCCCAGTTCTTGTGGTCTGGCCCCCCACATCCGTGTGCCTCCAGGGCTGGCTCCGGGCACCCAGGTGGAGGTCGGGAGGTCACTAGGCCCAGGGTGGTGGGGCAATGTCCAAACCATAGGAGGTCAGTGGGGCACTGACTGAGTCAGGGAATCAAGGTAGCCACCTGGAGGAGGCAGCAAGTAGCCTAGACTTCTGAGCATGGCCTCTGGGGAGGGGGCTGTAGGTAACGAGTTCAGGGAGGTGCACCGGCTTGAGAGAGATGAGCACTGAAATGCAGAGGCCCGAGGGAGCAGCATGGGAGCCCAGACTCGATAACGACAAGGAGACCAGATCGCGGCGGTCTCACTCAGGCAAGAGCTCATGCTGTTGCCACGCCCACTCTGACTGTGGCATTACACAAGCCACGTGAGAGTGTGCTTCGCAGAGGGGAGGTCCGGCCCGGGGGCGGCAGATGCATAAAGACGGCTGAGAAGTGGACTTTGGCCTCCAGCTGTGGGGACGGACACAGTGGGGAGGAGGCAAAGGGCAAGCTCAGGGACAGGCCTGGGGAGGCCCCGGGGCCAGCAGCTCCACTCATGCAGAGAGTCACAGGAATCCAAAACTCAACAAGACAAGCAAACAAGAAACCCAGTGTGATGGCCAAAAAGTGAAACACACTCAGGAAAATGGCCCCTGCTGGAATCTCCATCCTGCTGGGGAACTGACTAGGAGCCCACGACCCCTGGGATGGCTGTGACCACAGCAGTCCTGGCCTCTCCCAGTGCCCACAGCCCCTGTGGCCACCTCCCTCCATCTCCACGGTCGACGCCAAGTGCCACCCTGGACCAGGGTGGTCGCCCGAGAGGAGAGCAGGCGGCTCTCTGGAGAGAAACGGCATCCCCTGCGCACTCAGCGCTCTGTCTACCTGTCCTGGGATGTGACAGGGGACCGTGGCCAACGGAAGTGAATCCAGACGGCCGGTGTCAGAGCGACCAGACACAACTTCACAACAGCTGTGATTAACGTGTTCAAGAAGACAGGGAAAAGGACAAAATGGATGGACAGCTGGAGAATTTCAGCAGAGAACCGAAATCCACACAAAAGAATCAGAGGGACAGCCTGGGACTGGGGAACACGACGTGTCAGTTTACGAACGCGCTGGAGAGCTTTAACAGCAGGCTGGGCAGAGCAGAAAACATGACGGCTGAAATCAGAGAGAGTTCAACAACAGAAGGACACCGAGCCAAAGCTTAGCGAGGACACAGACGACGCAACATGTGCACGTCGAGCCTGAGGAAGCGCACGTGAGCCGCAGAGGAGGCGGACAGAGAGCGGGGCCAAGTCAACCAGAAGAAAGGACGGCCAGGAATTCTCCAAAACCAACGAATGACATCAACCCACCAATCCACGAAATTCAGGATAAATACAAAGAAAACCACACCTCAGCACATCACAGTCAAAACACTAGAAGAGAAAGAGAGTGAGAAGAAAGAAAGCGCTAGAAGCACACAGGGAAAAGCGAACAGTGATTTCAGAGGAAAACGTTAAGACGGACAGCTGACTTTTAACAGGAACAAGAGGCACCAAGCACACTGGAGGGAAACTGCTCAAGTGCTGAGAGAAAAAGCCCGTAAATCTAGAACTCTGTACCCGTGAAGAGATTCTCCAAAGAATGAAAGCAAAATTAAGACTTTTCAGACAAACGAAGCCTGAAAGAATTCATCCACATCAGACTGGCACAAGAAATATTGAGGAGGAATCCTTTAGGCTGAAGGGCACAGTCCCCAAGAGAAGATGGAGGAATGCCCAGCACCGCAAAGGGAGCCGCGGATAAAGAGAAAGAACGCTCCAGGGGCCCGCCCGCTGGCGCAGTGGTTAAGTTCGTGTGCTCTGCTTCGGCGGCCTGGAGTTTGCGGGTTCAGATCCCAGCACGGACCTAGACACCGCTCATCAAGCCGTGCTGTGGCGGCGTCCCACACATAACGTAGAGGGAGATGGGGACATATGTTAGCTCAGGGCCGACCTTCCTCAGAAAAACAATAAACAAACAATAGAACACGCCATGTTTACTCCATGTGCTGTAACCTGTGACGTCTGTGACGTACCAGGAGCGACAAGAGCACAGAGGCAGGAGGGTCGGCGAGTTACACGTGTCCAGGCTCTTGAACTGAAGGGGAACAAGACTGTACTTCTTGAAAGAAAACCAGGGTAACTACTAAAAAGTAATATAAAAATTAAAACCTTACTATGAGCTCAAAGAGGAGGAGCAAACAGAAGACTACTTGACTGATCAAAAAGAAGACAAACAAAAACAGAGGAACACGGAAGAGATGGAACAGGTAGAAACTGTGAGAAAGCAGACTCGAACCCGACTGTTTCCACAATCACAGGAAAGCAAGCAGTCCAAAACGGACCTGGACTGAACACTTGACTAAAAGACAAAAGACCACCCGACTAGACAGAAAATAAGTCCAAATACGTGCCATTTACAGAAAATACACCTGAAACACAAGAACGCAGAAAGGCAGGAAAAAATAAACCACACAAACACTATACCGCCAACAGCACGGGAGCATTTATCAACAGACGGAACACGGGTGGTCAGCAGGGCTCGGCTACGTTCCACGCACTGAAATCAGAGTGTGCTCTGACTACCGTGGAACTCAGCGAGAAACCAGTTAACAGAAGGACAACTGGGAAATCCCAACACCCAGAAACTAAACAGAACCCTTCTAAATCACCATGGGTCAGAGAAGACTCGCAGTGAACCAGAGAAGCACAAATTAAAATGAAATACAACAGGAGAGAAAGAAAGATAGAAGTGAAAATCAGTTAAATAGAAATCAGTCAACGGAGAAACATCCGCAAGCCAAAGTCAGCTCCTCGTAGAGAGTAATAACACTAATAAACCCTAAAGGGACTAATCGAGAGGGAAGGAGAGGGGGAAACGCAAACTGCCGGCATCAGGACTTGAGAAGGGGACGTTGCTACAGACCCCACACACGGTAAGGAGGTAAGAGGAGGGTCTCTTGAACTTCCTGACGATAAAGGTAACAATTCAGGTGACTGTGATAAACTCCTCAAAAATGCCACTTATCAAAACAGAAACGAAAACTCTAAATAGACCTATATATACTAAACAAATTGAATTAAACATCTTCCACAAAAATAAAACTAAACCAAACCCCAAGACTAGACAGCTTCCCTGAGAATCCTTCCCAACATCTAAAGAAGAAATCGTAATGATCTGACACAAGTTCTTCCGGAAGGTAGAAAAAGGCTTCCCGGCACACCTGATGGGAGCAGCATAACCCTGACCCCAAGGCCTGACAAGGACAAAAAGGAAGTGAAATGACAGACCAGTGTCTCCACGGACACACACACCCACATCCCAGATGTCAGCAAACCACACGCGGGAAGGAGGGAACGTTACAGGTCGATTCCTGCTATGTGCTGTGGGGACGCGCCGTGAAGACCCGCGAACCCTCGATGGGGACACTGACCCGCTGCCCCAGAGGAAGCACAGGGGCAGGTCCCCGAGCGCCTCTGGGCAGAGCGTTTTCATCAGCTGACCACTCACGGCCTTGTCGTACATGCGTTTCTGTTTGGACACCTTGCTTCACGCACATCACTGAGCCATGAACACGAGTTCATGACCAGCAGCCCTTGACGCCCGCCTGACGAAGCTCATCTCACACGCACATCTCCTCCGAAGGCACACGGCAGCCTTCTCACACCCAGAAACGCGGGACGGCACCTCAGCACGACGCCCGGGGGCCATTTACACAGCAAAATCACCCACAAACAATACAAAAATGTGAAAAACACAGCTAAATATAAGCGAAAAAGACACGTGTTTACACCTGAGAGCTGAAAAGAGGAGGCAGAGTGTCTCCTTGTCCAAGCCCAGCTGGGAGCGTGCGCCGGGCGACAACCTCGTCACCACTCTGCAGGTGGGTGTGCCACCGACCGTGAACGTGCCCCAGGCGTTCACTGTGGAGTTACAAATCCACTGTAGCCAGCAGGCAAGGTCGCACACACAGACCCACAGACGAGGGGTGACAGCACACACACATCACAAGAGGTCATAATCCACGACCTAGCGGAGTTTACTCCAGAAGGCAAGGTTGGTTCAATGCTTGAAAACCCACCCATGTGATGTACTATGTTAACAGAGTAAAAGAAAAAAGCAACCATCTCAATAGAGGCAGAAAAAGCATTTGACAAACCTCAACACTCATTCATGGCAAACTGTCAGCCACTAAGAACAGAGGGAACTTTCTCATCTGATAACTCATGACAGGGAAGCACTGAATACTCTCCCTGGGGTTTGGAACAAGACACAGACGCCCTCACTCACCGCTTCTTTCACATCTGTCCTGGAGCTCTAGCCAGTACAGTAGGGCAAGAGAAAGAAAGAAAAGATACCAGGATTACAAAGAAAGAAGTAAAGCTATTCTTCACAAATGACACAACTGTGTACATAAAAAAATACGAAAGAATTCACAAGTATGAAAATTAGTGAGTGAATTCGGCAAAGTCTCTGCGTACGAGATCAATTAAAATAATAAAGTACATCTCTACTAACAACAATCAAGGAGAAAGTGAAATTTTAAAAAATATCTTTTATAACAGCACCAATAGGTGTCAGCAAGCACGCAGGAGACAGCCACACAGAAACCCCACAACGTGGCTCCAGTGAAATGAACCTGACCCGCCTCCGACCACACATCAAAACCAACTCAGGTCAGAGCAGGGCCGTCAACGCAACAGGCACACAGGAAGACGTCTTCAAGTCCTGCACCGACTCCTCAGAGAGCAGGCAAACACATCACGGCTAAAACCAGGAGTGACGAGCTGGACCTTATTCACATGAAGACATACGGACAGGGAGCAGGCACTGGCCGTGCACAGAGCCAACAGAGGCCCTGTGTCCGGACAGAAAGGACTCCCACAGGTCAGCAGGACAGACGCCCGGAGACAACGGGGAGAAAGAAGTCCGAGCAGGCATGTCACCAGACACGTCCAGCGGCCAGTCGACACACGGCTCTCAGAGAAACGCAGTCAAACCACAGGAAACACTGCTCCACGCTCACCAAGGGCTAAAGTCACCAGCATCACGTGCCGGCGAGGACGGAGCGGCCGGAGCCCCTACATGTGCTGTGGGACTGCCCAGCAGTGCCTACAGACCCCCAAGTGCCAGCCATCCCTCCAGGAACCAGTGCACGTCTCCACTGAGACACACAGGGACGTGGACAACCACGACAGGAAGCCATCATCACATCAACCAACAGCAGAAAAGACAGCCAACGCAGAACAGCCACACGGGGGAACAGGACACGACAGCACAGGGATGCACATGCCATGTGACGGGCCTCATCTCACGGGTGGAGCACGGAGGAGACAGCACAGGCTGGCCCCTGAGGGGGCCTTTACTGGGGGAGGGTCCTGTGTGTCTGCAGAGTCACAGACACGTCTACTGCCCCGTGACCGTCCTGCCTCCATCCTTTCCCCAAACTGCCCACGAGGGAGCAAGCACATCCCACCCAGCCCACGGCCCGCCTCTGCCCCGGAGGCCTGACTCTCTCTACTGAGGGTCCCTGACTGCCCTGCCTGTCCCATCCCACCCCCAAACCCGGCTGCTGAACCATCCTGGAAAAGCCCCCTGAGCCAGGAGTGCCAGGTCAGGGCCCGCAGGGGCTCTGGGGAAGAAAAACAAGACTAGAGGCCATAAGCAGGGGACTTCACCGCCCACCTTCTTCACCTGTAAGCGGAGGCGACAACTCCAACCTCAAAGAACAAGAGAGGCCCGCTACACCCTCTAGGGGGCTGACAAACGGACATGGAGTCCAGGACACAGTGCCCTAGAGAACAGGGCAGGGCAGAGGCACGCAGGTCTCTAGAGGGCGTCTGGGACCAGCCTTGAACCAGGAAAAGGAGAGACCTGCAGGCTAAGAGGGGAAGAGCGAGCACACCAGCGAGAACAGGAGCAGCAGCCCCGGGTGGGGAGGGAGGGAGGAGGGGGTGGCCGGAGCCAAGGGCAGGCAAGGGGCTACCAGCTGCACGGGTGGTGGGAGCAGGGGACCGGGCTGAGGGACAGTGAGCGGGGGGCGGGGGGGCGGGCATCGACGGGCCCACGGGCAGCGAGGGCGACAGTCTCCCACTTCCTCCCGCCTGGCTCAGCCCGCTGGGCACCCTGCAAGCTCAGGGCGGTGCAGGCAGGCACCCAACCTGGGCCGGGCCCGTGGGATCCCCTCCAAGGATCCGGAAACGGGCCCTGGCTAGACGTGCAGCAAGGCCCTTCCCGGACGGAGTGCGGTTCTCACCCCTCCCTCTCCCGTCCCCCCGTTGCCCGGGCCCCACTCACTCTTCTCTCCATGGCGGTTCGAGTGCAGGTTGCTAAGGTCGGCTTGGAACTGAGGCCCAACCATGATCTCCTGCAAAGGCAAGGGCCCAGGAGTCAGCGCTACCGGAGGCCCGGCCGCTGCCCAGAGCACCGGGCGGGGGGGTAGGGGCAGTTGGCGAACTCTGCCCACAGACACCGAGTCCTGCAGTCTCAGGGATGGGAGGCAGAGGCCTGGTGTGTGCGTGACAGCGTCTTCCTCCACTCGTCCATCTGTCTGGTGCGGCCAGTCATGTGGCGAGGGGGCTGGGGCCTGAGGACCCAGGTGTCCTGACGCCCGGCCCAGAGCCCCCGGGACAGGACCTCGGGGACACATCGCTGGGCCAGCAGCAGCACGGACTCCAGGGCCCAACAGCGAGGCCAAGTCCCAGCCTAGCCCACCTCTCAGGAGCCGTGCCGTCGCCCCTGCCCCAGGACGGGGTGGAGGTCCACGCTGAGGGCACTGTGGGGTCAGAGGCACGCACCTTCTTACATTTGTTGGCGGGAAGAGGGTCCTCCTCGGTGTCGGACGAGGCAGAGGAGCCGGGCTCTTTGTCTGCATCGGCCAGAAAGCAGGCTTCGGGAAAGGGGCACGGGTGAGGCACGTCCGCGGCACCAGGAGGCCCTCCAGGCTGGGGGACACCCCGGGTCTCCGGCCCACTCTCCATCCACCAGACCCCCACGCTGAGCCCTTCCTGAGAAGCGGCACAACCCAGGCCCTGGCCAGAGGACGGTGAGTGACGGACACAGGAGTGGGGACTCGGGAGGTCCCCCTCTGCTGCGGTCGCCAGACCCCCGGCCCTGAGCCCCCAGCACCCCACGCTGCCAGGCCACACGGCCTCAGAGGCAGGCAGAGCGGGGGAGGATGGTCTGAGGACGCTGCCCGGGACCTGACGGGCTTTCAGCCACAGGAACAACGCGTCCCCTCCTCGTGTAAACCAAAGCCACCCGGGCTCAGCTCCAGGCAGGGCAGGGGAGAGGGGAACCCCGGAGGGCTGAGACGGAGCCAGGGCACCCCCAGGGCACCCGAGGCCTGGCACGAGTCCTCTCCCGGGGCCTTCCGTCCACACCACGAGAGCCCTGCCCAAGTGGAGGGGGGCAGGACACCTACGTCCACTCTGCTCAGGGAAAAGGTCGGAGGCCTCGTGGGAGGTCACGGACGGGGTGAGGTCATCAGCTGAGGACTGTGTCTCTTCCTCTTCCTCCCCTGAGAGCAGATCCTTTGCTATCTGTTCCTTTAACGAGAAAGGAAAGAACAATCCTGCAGTTACTTTCAATCATCTCCACAGGACACAACAGTGACACAGTGACGGCACGGCCGTGCTGAGCCTCCCCTGGAGCACCGAGGGCTCAGGCAGAGCTGTCCTTCCCGCCCTGCAGACGCCGAGACTGGGCGAGGGCAGGCCTCACCCCTGCGCCCTGGGGAGGGGCGGTGCCTGCACCCGCGGCTAGGACAGTGGGCCCATCGCTGCTCTCTCTGCTGGGCGCTGGGTTTGCAGCTTCGGCACAAGCCCCCTCCTGACCGCGCCCAGGACCTGCAGGACCCGAGGGCCAGGCAGGAATGGGCTCCCTGGTTCCGCTCCCCCGGCTGTGTCTCCCCAGGCCGGGCTCCACTCTGCTCCTCCTCCAGCCAGTGGGCAGGGTCTTGGTCCCACCCCCTCCCTGGCTGCCCCCGGCTGTGACTCTGGATGTGGGGAACAGGACCTAAGAAGCAGCCGCGGCCTCACAGCAGGGACGGCGCTCCCACCTGTCCCACCCTCCCGGGATCGCCCCCCTCCCGTCCCGGGGGACCTCTCACCTTGTCCAGGGTCATGTCCGGGAGGTGGGCTGTGGCGTCGCTGCCCTCGCTCTCCTGCTCCGAGATGGGGTCGGACGCCTCGTAGCCATAGAGGGCGAGCAGCTCGTCGAGTGGCATGTCGCTGCTCTGGGGGGGACAGGACCGTCACCAAGGGCCACTCGGGGCGACGGGGCCCCGTTGGGGGGGGCCGCTCTGTGGGGACCGGGCCCCATCGGGGGGACGGGGCCCATTGGGAGGCACTGCTCAAAATCCTAAACAAAATACTGGCAAACCGAATACAGCAATATATTAAAAGGATCACACACCATGATCAAATGGGATTTATTCCAGGCATGCAGGGATGGTTCAACATCTGCAAATCAATCAGTGTGATACACCACATTAACAAAAGGAAGAATAAGAACCACATGATCATCTTAATAGAGGCAGAGGAAGCATTTCACAAGATCCAACATCCATTTATGATAAAAACTCTCAACATGGGTACAGAAGGAAAGTACCTCAACATGATAAAGGCCATATACAACAAACCCACAGCCAACATCATATTTAATGGTGAAAAACTGAAAGCCATCCCTCTGAGAACAGGAACAAGACAAGGGTGCCCACTCTCACCACTTCTATTCAACATAGTACCGGAGGTTTCGGCCAGAGCAACTGGGCAAGAAAAATAAATAAAAGGAATCCAAACTGGAAAGAAAGACATGAACTCTCACTGTTTGCAGATGACACGGTCCTATATATATAGAAAACCCTAAAGAATCCATCAGAAAACTATTACAAATAATCGACAACTACGGCAAAGTTGCAGGATACAAAATCAACTTACAAAAATCAGTTGCATTTCTATACACTAACAATGAACTAGCAGAAAGAGAACTCAAGAATGCAATCCCATTTACAATCACAACAAAAAGAATAAAGTATTTAGGAATAAACTTAACCAAAGAGGTGAAAGACACATACACTGTAAACTGTAAGACATTATTGAAAGAAACTGAAAAAGACACAAAGAAATGGAAAGGTATCCATGCTCATGGGTTGGAAGAATCAACATAGTTAAGATGTCTATACTACCAAAGCAATCTACAGATTCAATGCAATCCCAATCAGAATCCCAATGACATTCTTCATGAAAATTGAACAAAGAATCCTAAAATTTATATGGAACAACAAAAGACCCCAAATAGCCAAAGCAATCCTGAGAAAAAAGAACAAAGCTGGAGGCATCACAATCCCTGACTTCAAAACATACTACAAAACTACAGTAATTAAAACAGCGTGACACTGGTACAAAAACAGACACACAGATCAACGGTACAGAATTGAAAGCCCAGAAATAAACCCACACATCTACGGTCAGTTAATCTTTGACAAAGGAGCAAAAAACATACAAGGAGAAAGCAAAGTCCCTTCAATAAATGGTGCTGGGAAAACTGGACAGCCACATGCAAAAGAATGAAAGTAGACCCTTATCTTATGCCATACAAAAAAATTAACTCAAAATGGATTAAAGACGAATGTAAGACCTGAAACTATAAAACCCCTAGAAGAAAATACAGGCAGTACTCTATTTGACACTGATTGTAGCAGCATCTTTTCAAATAACGTCTGACTGGGCAAGGGAAATGGAAGAAAAAATAAACAAATGGGACTTCATCAGACTAAAAACCTTCTGCAAAGCAAAGGAAACCATGAACAAAATGAAAAGACAACCCACCCACTGGGGGAAAATATTTGCAAATCATGTATCTGACAAGCGGTTGATCTCCAAAATATATAAAGAACTCATACAACTCAACAACAAAAAGACAAACAAGCCAATCAAAAAATGGGCAATAGATCTGATCAGACATTTTTCCAAAGAGAATATACAGATGGCCAACGGACACATGAAAAGACGTTCAACATCACTGATTATTAGGGAAATGCAAAGCAAAACAATGAGATATCACCTTACAGCCGTCAGAATGGCTATAATTACCAAGACAAAAAACAACAAACACTGGAGAGGATGTGGAGAGACGAGAACCCTCACACACTGCTGGTGGGAATGCAAACTGGTGCAGCCACTAAGGAAAACAGTATGGAGATTTCTCAAAAAATTAAAATTGAAATATCGTACACTCCAGCTATCCCACTACTGGGCATTTATCCAAAGAACTTGAAATCAATGATCCAAAGAGATGTACACACCCCTGTGTTCACTGCAGCCAAGACACGGAAGCAACCCAAGTGTCCACCGACTGATGACTCCATAAAGATGTGGTGTATACATACAATGGAATACTACTCGGCCATAAAAAGACAAAATCGTTGCATCTGCAACAACATGGATGGACCTGGAGGGAACAATTTAAGTGAAATAAGCCAGACAGACAAAGAAAATACTGCATGACTTCACTCATATGTGGAATATAACTGATACATGGATAAAGAGAAAAGATCAGTGGTTACCAGAAGGAAGGGGGTGGGGGGCGGGTGAAAGGGGTGAGGGACAGATGTGCAGCGACAGACAATGGTTAGACCACTTGGGAGGACCACGATGAGGTTTACTCAGAAAATGATAAACGATAACGTACACCCAAATTCTCACAACGTTATAAACCATTATTATCTCAATAAAGTTACAGGGGTAAGAAAAAGAGGGCTGCTTTGGGGGTACAAGGCCCTGTAAGGAGGGGCTGCTCTGGGGGACGGGGCCCTGTCGGGAGGGGCTGCTCTGGGGCTCCGTGCGCGTCCTCCTCTCTGATACAGTCACCCACCGCCACCCGGTCTCTCATCACACAACCACTCACCCCAGCCAGACCCCAGGCCCACACCTTCCGGCAAGGACCCCCTTACGGCCCCCACAGAGGCACAGAGGAGACCCGTGAGCCCAGAGAGGTCAGCCACTGGCCCAAGGACACCAGCCCTGAAAGGTGGAGCCAGGACTGGCCTCCCGGTCCACACCGCACTGCCCAGCAATGCTTCCCCGCCCGGGCTCGAGCCAGCTTCACTCTGGAAATCTACGCTCACAACCCATGACATCAACAAACAAGAAGCAAAAACTGACCATCCTGATAAATTTGAGAAGGGATCCGCTCAGATCCATGAGCTCTTCTGGGTTTACAGAGCCCTCAGTGTACGAAGCAGAGGGGTCCCCTCATCCCGAGACGGAGACCCCGGCAACCCTCGCTGACCAATAAGTGGCCAGAGCAAGCCCATCACTGTTGGAACAAGGAGGCGTCTCCGGACACCGCGGCCTCTGCTCCAGAGCTGCTGGCCACGCTCATCCTGACCCCTGTGGCCGCTGTCGGCTTCCAGCCTCCTGGACGCTCCCTCCTGCCAGCACGTGCCCCCCACCATCCTGCCCGCCCTCTCCTGGGGGCTTCAAGGCCACAGGGAGGCCACCGGTCTGTTCACCGCCCTCCTCTGGGTGGCGACCCCACCCGTCCCCTCCAAACCAAGTCGCCTTCTCACAGGCCCCACAGTGGAGGACGCTCATCACACCGGCCACGCTTTCCAGCACGCATCTGTGGGGGTCAACACGGCAGCCCCAAAACCCCGGGTCCCCGGGCGTGCTGGGGGCACTCGAGGCGAGGCGACCTTCACGGTGAGACTGGGATGTTGCTCCCGCTCCCGCTGCGCTGGCACCCCACTGAGAGAGCAGAACGGAGGCGCCCCGCAGAGGGGGGAGCACCCAAGTGCACGTCGTCAGGCTGCTCCTCGCCGCCACCCGCTCCCAGCGTCACAGACGCCAGCTCGCTTACGAACACGCTGCCTAAACTCACTGGTTCTGTTAAATCTCCAAGCAGACGTGGCTTCAGCCTTCCGCAGGAGGACACGGGAAGAACGCACAGGGAGCTGCTGCCTTCAGGAAGGGCGCCTGTCTCGCCCGGAAGAGCGGCCGCACACGCCGCGCTCACCTGGCCGGCACGAGCAGACGGGCCTCGGACGGGGACCGCACGGCTGCCACTCCAGAAGAAACCACCGACCGTGCTTGCTGCCAGGGCACAAATCCAGGTTTCGGGCAAAAAATCTGATTTTCTAAAACTTGGACCTGACAACGTGAACCTGATACACTGCGGACACCCTCCGGAAAGGCAACGTGAGACGGCACGGGTTTCTGCCTCTTCCTCAGCCACCACACTCCTCCTCTTCCTTAGTTTTAGAAAGTTATATCTGAAGAAAATCTAGACGACGTAATCAGCTCGTAGATAGCTGATGTTTTTGTTAGTTTTGAGAAGTTTTAACTTTGAATTGAACCCTTTTAAGATGTTTTTTTCTTTTCAAAGAAAAGACTTTTTTTGGGTTTGAGACCAAACCAGCACCCAGCTAAAAAACGGCAAGTAATCACTCTTTAAAAGAACTCCAGACACTTCAAAGACGTCTGGGGAGATCTACAACGGTCGTGTCCCCCAGAATTCACACGTGGAAGTCCTGACCCCTCCGTGTGACTGTATTTGGAGACGAGGCCTTTACGGGAATGAAGTTAAATGAGGTCTGGGGACGGGGCCCTGATCCCACAGCATCACTGTCCTCACAAGAAGAGCCACCGGAGAGCTCGCTCTCTCCCCGACATGAGGACACGGCGAGGAGGCAGCCCCCTAACCCAGGACAGTAGCCCTCCCAGAAACAGCCCTGCAGACCCTGATCTGGGACTTCTGGCCCCAGAACTGTGAGGAGGTAAATATCTGTTGCTCACGGTATTAGCAAATATGTGTCTTCTAGATTTTACATTGTGAACTCTGTCCACACCTGGAAGGCCCCCAGGTTGGGGAGCATTCTGCAAACATCTCAGCAGTGCGGTGACCAGACCCGCCCCCAGCTCAGGACCAGTGGATGTGAACAAAGCCAGAAAGCACAGAGTTCACTGGACACGGCTGTAGAGACCACCCTTCACAAACCAGCACCGGCTGAGTTTCGTGGAGCATCAAATAACATCCACCACTCTCTGGAACGGTCGAGTCCCCTCCCTTCTCCAAGAACAGACCTGACGAGGCTGGACTTACGCTTCAACCAAAGAACACATCCCAACGGACTCACGTCTGCCTCAAAGACAGCAGCAGGGGTCCCACATCTGCTTCTGCACTCACAGACACTTACAAAGTGCAAAATGATTCTACTCTTCTCATTTTTTTGTTTTCGGAAAACAGTTATCTTTTCATTTTCATAAAAACGTTATTTCTATTAACAATGGCTTTATTGTATAACCCACATAAATAAAGCTTCTTGAGACTCTCAATAATTTTTAAAAGCGTTGGGGTTCTGAAGCCAAAGAGTTTGAGAACGGGGTTTCACATCTAGCCTGCACTGGCCTGGGGTCCCCGAGCCCCGGGAAGGCAGGACCCGGTCTGGCCCGTCGTCCCCTGTGGCCTCAGCTCCAAGCACCGGGCCTGGGCTCTGCGGACACGTGTGGGCAGCACTGGTCACTGTGGAGTCCCAGCGGCCTGGAGATGACTTCAGCCACATGGAGAAACCGTGGACCTGCCCAGGAGGGCTCCACCCACCAGACGGGGGACCAGCTCCCCACATACCTGGGAGATGAAATCCTTCTCCAGCTCCTCCTCCTGCTTCTCCGGGCTGCTCGTGGCCTCCGTGCACTCCTCCTGGAGGCCGTAGTTCTGTGACAGGATCTCTGCGAGGCTGAACTGAGGGTCCGCAGAGGCCATGGACACCACTGTGGAGGAGACACAGCCTGAGTGAGCGCCTCACCCGCCCGCCCCAACCCCCATGCGGAGACTAAGCTGGCCGGGGCAGAGGGAGCCACGGCGGCCCAGCTGTCAGCAGAGACAAAGCCCCAGGGGGCGGCCACGTGTGTATATCTGCTTATGTGTGTGAGGCTGTGCACACACATGCGTGTGTGCAGCTGCATGGATCTGTGCATGTGTGTGGCCATGTGAGGCTGTGTGTCAGCCTGTATATGTGTGTGTGTGTGCCTGCATACAGGTGCACGCGTGTCTGACGTATGTGTGTACCTGGGTGTGCACGTGTGAGGCCGTGTGTGCCTGTACAAGTGTGTGCGTAAGGCTGTGTGTGTAAGTATACGCGTGCATGCACAAGGCCGTGTGTGCGAGTGCATGTCAGTCTGTGCACGGTGGTGGTCAGCGTGGCCCACTCGCCACGTGGGAACTCCTGAAAGAATGAAGAGCACAGCCGGCTGACGCAAAGCCACTTCTGGGGATGTTCTGGGATGTGTCCTGGGGATGCTGGGTCTTCCCGCCCACCAATGCCTGTGGGGTCTGGGGAGAGAGAGAGGGGACCACAGAGATGAACACCAGTCCAGGGGGGTGGGAAGTGCCCATACGGCACGGACCAGGCAGGGGGATGCTGTGCATCCCCCTCGAGAGTCACTGTAGGGATGGGCACAGCACAGGGAACGCCAACAGGCGGCCCACAGTCTGCCAGCCCCTCCTCCACCCCCACAGGGCGCGGGCCACGGCCCAGCGGCCAGCGGATGGTGCAGATCCGGGGTTTCCCAACAGGACCAGGACGTGTCCACTGCTCTCCCCACAACTGGGCTTCAGTAAGTCGAATTGCAAAAGAAACAACAAAAGAAACCGCCAGGGCTGAAGCCACCCCAGGTGAGAGCTGTTGACAGCCACGCTGGACCTCCACTGGGTCCAAGGCACACGGCAGGGGCCGGACGGGAGGGGGCCCACTCAGACCAGACCCCCGCCACCTCCTTCAAAGCTGCCCAAGCCCTCAGCCTCAGCGCAGGTGCCTGACAGGCCTGCTGGAGACCGGGGAGACGAGTCCTGGCTGCTCTGTGTGCCCATCCATCCCCGGGCCCTGCCCGTGCGTCCCCATC